AATAAGGAAAGGAAGGGAAGGGGAGGGGAGGGGAGGGGAGAGGAGAGGAGAGAATATACCTTGGAGGTCTTCTTATCCAACCCCCTGCTCAGGCAGGAAACCCAAAACCATTTCAAACAAAGGGTTGTCCAATCACTTCTTTGAAACGTCCAGTGTTGGAGCATTCACAACTTCTGGAGAACTTCGGATTAATTGTTCTAACTGTCAGGAAATTTCTCCTTAGTTCCAGGTTGCTTCTCTCCTTGATTTATTTCCATCCATTGCTTCTTATTCTGCCCTCTGGTGCTTTGGAGAAACATCTGCAAGAAAACCACCAAGCTCAGAGAGCACCAAGGACCCCACAGTTCAACCCTGAGCTAAATATATTCCTTTGCAAGAAAATGCATTAGCCTTCCAATGATGGAAGGATTGATGTTTTCTACCAGGAATAAATCTGACATCACAATCTACCCTTTCTTACCCTGAAAATGGTCCTCATCATGGTTTCATAACTGGGCCAGATCTGTGCTACCAGTTGGAAATATTACTTCCTTCTTTTTTTGAAAAAACAACAACATTATAAGGTGTTCCACTTTTGCATCTATAAATTATGAAGCCTTACTTTATCATTACAGCCTCTGACGTTCTAAATTCCCCAAATAAGACACTTGGGATCACCTTTGAAGTATGAATTACAATTGGTCACAATGTTTTTACTCACGGTTGTCCGGAACACAATCCTCAGAACAATGGATACTTAAACCATTGGCACTTCTTCGTTCGTGCAGAGAGCTGGAACAATATCAAAGGGAAGAGGTTACACATTAGGACAAATTTATATTCGTAAGGTATCTGTCCTCTACAGTTTGTAGAATTACAGCTCCAGGCTCAAGCATCTTTAACAAAGATGCTCTTTTATCCCTTTGTGAAATTATGGCCCCTGTTGGACGATTGTGGACATTGTCTCTAGAAGAGAGAAGGCGGCATTGACTTGCTCTCCAAAGCACCTGAAGGCAGGACGAGAAGCAATGGGTGGAAGCTCATCCCAGGGAAATCCAGGCTGGAAATAAGGAGGAATAAGAATTAATCAATGGAACAGCTTGTGTCCCAGAGATATGGGTTCTCCATCCCTGAAGGTCTTGAAGAAAAGCTGGGCATCCATTTGTCTGGGAAGGTATAAGGAAGGGGTCTCAAACAAACTCGGGCCGCGGACCGGATCCAGCCCACAGGGTGCTTAGACCTGGCCTGAAAACAGCAAAGGACCTGCTCGTGGTGTCTCTGCTAGCAAAAATGGAGCTCGGTGGCGGGGGGACGCATTCAGGCCACCTGCCAGAGGTGAGTTGCTACCGGTTCACACCGGTTTGGGTGAACTGGTAGTGGAAATTGCGACTGGGTCGCCGAACCAGTAAAGACAGCAGGCTGGCCATGCCCCCGAACCGGTTCCCCGGTCGTCATGGAATGATATTTTTTGACATTTTTAATGTTCTGCGCATGGGCACAGCTATTTACAGATAAGCAGTAATGATGGCAGAAGCCCACCCCTGCCCCCTGTTTTCGCTGGCAGAGGACTATCAAAGCAAACTCAAAACGGGGGGGGGGGAGAGAGAAATGTTTCCCCTTTTTGCATTTGAGCACGTAAGAAGGGAGGGGAAAAGGAGGGAGGGGAAGCGGGAAGACAAAGAAAAAAGAAGGGAAGATGGGAAGAGTGCAGGGATGGAAAAAGAAGGAAGGAGGGGAAGGAAGAAGAACGGAGAATGAAGAGGGAAAGAAAAGGAAGGGAGGGAGGGAAGAAAGGAGATTATAATGAGAGGGAGGGAGAGTCTGAAGGAAATTCTGCCTTAGCACTTGGCCATCACAGGTACCCCTGACACGAGTCCCATGTCATGCCCCCATGGCTACACACTCTAGCCATGCCCCACGTCTCCCCTTTGGCCCTCAAAGGTCAAACACAACTCTGATGCCACCCTCCATGAAATCTAGTTTTGACACCCTTGGTATAACATCTCCTCCCTCGGGTCATTCTAGTCAGCCAAATTTATTATTATTATTATTTTTGGTTGAACTCATGTAAAACCTCAATTTCAACACTTCTGGTCTCTGATTTTAGGACACCATCATTCTGGAGGGGCCAAGGAACCATTGGCCTTGTCTCATGCTGATATACACACGGACGTCCTAAATGGAAATTGCTGATCATCACCAAGCTAGGCTGCAGAAATCAGAAATCAGGTGGCGCAGTGGTTAAATGCAGCACTGCAGGCTACTGCTAGATCAGCAGGTCAGCGGTTCAAATCTCACCAGCTCAGGGTTGACTCAGCCTTCCATCCTTCCGAGGTGGGTAAAATGAGGACCCAGATTGTTGGGGGCAATATGCTGACTCTCTGTAAACCGCTTAGAGAGGCCTGAAAGGCCTATGAAGCGGTATATAAGTCTACTGCTATTGCTATATTGCTATTGCTATTGCTAAT